TATATATATATCAGGTTTTATTTCACAATGGTATTAAGATCTTAAAGCAACATTTTTGGCAGGTATTGATAATTACTTGACTAAACTCTCAGATGTTTTGCCTAAGGGATTTTAAAATAAAATAAATAAATAAATAAAATAATTGCACAGTGCACTTTCAGTGTGACTAAAATGCTGTAGCGGAAATTACCGATCCATATCTATATTTGGCCGATCTAAATGAGTCAAACCCTTACACTGAAAATTCTGCCATTATCTACTCATCCTCATTTCGCTCAACACTCATATGACCTTTTTCCCATGAAAGATTAAAGGAGTTATTAAAGAATGTCAAAACTGCCCTTTTGAACACAATGAAGGTGCACATTGATCACTGGCTGCCAAGTGACAAGTTGTAATTTTGCTTGGTTTATTCATATTATATACAACACACACACACACACACACACTACACCCCTGATGGCAAAGACTGCCACTGGCCATTTAAAATCTCTAAAAAAGCTGCAATTGTTGAACCCATATCCTTTCTACATGCATATTTCATTTAATCTGACATTGAGGGGTAGGTTTAGGGGTAGGGTTGGTGTAGGGCAATAGAATATACGGTCTGTACAGTATAAAAACCATTACGCCTATGGGATGTCCCCACTTTTCACAAAAACAAACCTGTGTGTGTGTGTGTGTGTGTGTGTGTGTGTGTGTGTGTGTGTATGTGTCAATGATAACAAGGGACAGGGACAAGCAAAACAGACCTCAGAAACAGAAAAAGGGATTGTAGAGGGTCTGAGTGATTTGAGTTTTTTAAATATAGGGCTCCTGTCTTTACATATCTCATGCAGACAGTCACAATGTAGCGGCCTATGTGAGTGGACTCATCTTGCAGAAGTCCTCATTTTTTTCATGTTTTATTTCATCTGTGGGGCTCAAAAGAATGTGCGCTGTCTTCACATCTCCATCATTTCACCAGTGCAGCACTTGGGCAAATGACTCACTGTTCCTATCCTACAATACCTACAGGCGTAAATCAGCCTCAGTAGGATTAAGCTGAATGTGAGCAAGATCAAATGACTCTTGCAACTGTCTTCTCACATATCTTATTGGAATTCACATGGCTCTCTGCATGGTCCAGACTCCACTTTGCTTTCACGGACCAGGAGCTTTGCAAAAGGCTGCTGGCTGACTCTCTTATGGATGTAGTAAGGGGGATAGCTCAAGATCTCACGTAAAGATCCATATACACAAGCAGTCAATAGTTTGGTCACACTTGACACAATGTATGTGTAGCACGATATTACAAAGCTTTTGCAACTGAGTGTCACTAAAAATTACGAATGATATCATAGACTGTATCTCTATACTTACAATAATGATGCATTATTCCATAGACACCTCAGATCACAAAAGATGTACTCAATATCTGCATGCAGTGGAGATGAATGACAACGCTGTACGGAATTTTAAAGACAGTTT